AAAAGACACAGAGGAAAGAAGAGGTCATAGAGGCTCTTTGTATCCCATTTTCTCTGATCTATACGCTCAGATGCTCTGCTTACCATTCTTCCATACTCTGCTTTTTCTAGGACTTGCTGCAACCTCTCTGTCTCATCCCTTGACACCAGATACCAACTACTTCTTGTTCCTTAGGCATCTGTCTGCCCTCTATTCTTACATGCAAAACCACTTTATACAGTTCTCTTCTTCATTAGCTACCATACGCCACAGGTTCTTTGTTGGTTCCCAGCCTTCAGTGTAGGGTCATACAAAAGTCCCACACTTGCTTCTTCTATGTCACCTTTGAGATCATCTAAATCATGTCTTTTTATTTTTTTCTTTTTGTTAGATTTTGGGTTCCGAACAGTGCTCTCACAAAGCCCGCTAGGTCATTTTCTTTTGTGTACAAATAGCTATACTCCATTTGCAGAACAAGGTGTTCTGAGAGACTTTTGCTTTTTTTGAGTGAACTATAGGTGTTGTAAGCGGGGCCGAAGTCAAGAGAATTTTTCTATTGGTACCTAAAACATTACTTCAACTTTGTTGTTGATCAGGTATGTTGCTGGGGTTATCTCACTGCAGAGAAACAACATTGCCGATGTTTCTTTGACTGTATTAAGTTTTCTTTTAGTTTAACACCATCATGTTGCATTTGGGGCCTTTCATTCTCAGGATCTGCCTCATAAAAAGGCGGTTTCCTGCCGCCCCTCCTGTGTGTTTCTGTGGTGCCCCTGTGCTGGTACAAGGCCGTACGATAAAGGTCCTGTCACCACAGACTTGCCCCGTGGTGTGGGCTCTGGACTGGCCCCGGCTGCTGGCCCTGTGCTTGCCCTGCTCACCATGCTCGGGGCCGGGCCTGGGCCTGGGCCTGGACCTTGGCCCTGCCCGCCATGTTGCCACCCCCCCCGCCCCCGGCTCCCTGAGGCACAGCTCCCCCGGTGACGGTGCCACATTTTGTTTAAGCAATACGCGGTATCTCACACGAAACGCTCGCACTGCATTTTTTCAAAAAAAAAGTGCAGGATTGTGTATGCACATACGTGTTTTTATGAAGCCTCCCCGCCAGAAAGCAATCTCAATACATTATAAAAGCGGCAATGATGTTTTATGCCAGTTCCTTGTTAATAAGACTCCACTGCCTTCTATTAGAGTGCAAATTAGGTCCTGAGTGTTGTTCTGTTCCCTCATTTCTTGCTGTGAAGAGACAGCATAGTCTTAGCCCTCCCTCCCAGAGATTATTATTGCTCAGGAAATAGCTATTCATGGAAATTACCTATCGTTCTGTTACATTATCATTAAAGATGGAGGGGAGAAACAATATATTGGCAGACAGGGCAGACTTGTGTGCAATTCTATCTAAGCCATTAGGAAAGAGACATTAAAAGTTTCAGTCACTCGGCTGTAATTCAGCGTCTCGGCACATCAGCCGTCCCCGTGCGTCTCCTCTTTCAGACATAGCCTTCAGGTGGCTGAGACCAGTGCCATGTCTCTCTGCTGTTTACCCATTGCCATGTACTTCTGTATTTTAAAAAGGAGGAAGTGTTGGGAGAGAATGCCAGAATTGTTTTGTGTTTTTTCTCTTGCAGACAGTTTCTATGGGAATTTTCAGGAGTAAATCCAGTCTTTGTCATAGGTGCCATTCACTTAGCAAGAGAAAAAAAATGATTTTTTCTTTCAGAGGAAGTTCAAAAACCTATTTTCCTATTAATAGATAATACAGGCTGTGCTGCGCCATGAGTAAAAAGCTACGCTAACGCAGCTGAACTGGAAGAAGGACGCAGCTGGTGCACAATCTTGCAAACTGTCAGGCATATAAATAGTCTTAACGATTTCAAATAAGTTTTATATTAGCACAATTGTTCCTAAAGCAATATTATCTAAGATTTTAAAATTTAAAGTCCTTATGTGGAAGCTCATTAACTTCCCCTGAAATTCCTCACAAAGAGAGACAGGTCTGATTTAAAAGAAAAGCGTGCATTTTCAAACAGGACATCTGCCTTCTTCCCTCTTCCTTACTCTATGTATGTGAGCCTGCACAGATGCGTGTTAAAAGAAGATAAGGTGAAACTTTTTCAGTTAACATCATTTCCATGAAAGTTGAGATGCTCTGGGCACTTGGCCTTGTTGAACTTCACGAGGTTGACATGGGCCCACCCCTCAAGCCTGCCAAGGTCTCTCTGGATGACATCCCTTCCCTCCGGTGAATCAACTGCACCGCTCAGCTTGGCGCTGTCTGCAAACTGGATCCCACTGTCTATGGCATTAATAAAGATATTAAATAGTATTGCTCCCAATACAGACCCCCGAGGGACACCACTTGTAACTAATCTCCATTTGGACTTTATCCAAATTTAGATTAAACAGTGTCAGGGAAAACTCCTGGACAATGGGACTCTCAGTTGACTATCCTGTTGAGTTGTATGAACAGTCCTTGATACAGTTCTGACAAGTCAAACACTTTTCCAAATTAATTCCCAGGTATGGGAATACCCAGAAATTAGCATTGAGCAAAGATATTTCACAACTGGCACTTTTTCAGGAGGCATTTTATATTCTTCTGATTGGCCTCAGCACTAGAGAGTGATTTGAGCATGTTTCATTTACTGCTATTTTTGTAGACTATATGTATCTATTTGTCTCAAATTCTCCATATGCATACACATTTATGTAGCTTTTCTCATGTGATACAGGCAGTTGATTTCCTTAAAAATTTTCTAGTGAGTAAATTTGAATACATAGACTCAATAAGGTAGTGACTTTGATCAAGATCTGAATATACTCCCATGAATCTTCAGGGATAATGAATTAAATTCTCTGAAAGGCACATTTTAAAAATTATTCTCCCTCCAGCTCTGAAAGCTGTATTATAGATCTTTTTAGTTTAGTTTCATACCAATGCAATGACATCAGCACCGTGTCTTCCAAGCTCTCCTGCAGAATTTAGCGGGTAACTGTTTTGACAGGAGAATTTACAGGATTTGCTGTATTTTTAGAAACTGTTCCTCAAATTAGACTGACTAGATATGTCTGGATGCACATGACAGTGAGTCAGAACAGCTCTGAGAATGTTTGACATAAACATTTTTAATTTCCTTTTAACAGACTTATTTTGCCTTCTACTAATAAGCAACATACTCCTTTGTTTCATAAGCATATTGTAATTATGTTAACCATGGTTACAGGATTTACCAGTGGAACTGGAAGCATCTAATAACATATCCTACAACAACAAAAAAAGAGATGTTTTATCTAGGTTTTCATGGTTGACCTACTGATTCATATTCAAATTACCAAGTTATTTATAGCATTTCCAGTCATTCTAGTCGGAGTTATTTTTCATTTCATGTATTACTTTATAGAGGCATATGCATTAGTATTCCTTGTCACTGCACTACAAAGTTTTTCTTGGCAAAGGAGAGGAAACAGCTAATCTTCTCTATAAATTAAATAACTCCATGTCAGGGAAAGACTTTTGCCTTGTGTCACCAGGATAATCAAAATAATAGAAGGCAAAAGCAAGCAGGAAGAGTTTCTACTCTGTTCTGGGCTGAGTGTATCCATAATTTTTGCACTCAAAAAGGGATCTCAGCAGGCTGAGAGGGACAGATTGGCAGGAACTTCATGAAGTTGAGCAAAGGCAAATGCAAGTTTCCACAGCTGGAACGGAATAACCCATCCAAGAGTAAAGACTCAGAACTGACTGACTAGAAAACAGCTTTGCATAAAAGGATCTGAGGGTCCCGATGGACAACAAATTTAAATGAATCCGTAGTGTGTTCTTGCAGCAACGAAGGCTAACTACTTGCTATGCTTTAGAAAAAGCACAGCCAGCTGATTGAGGAGGAGTGGTTGTTTCCTTCTGAAATTTATGAATTGCATCTGATTCCAGCTGTGGTCTCCCCTCTACAAGAAAGGCACTGACCACATGGTGCAACACTAGCAGAGGGCCATTAAGATGACTGAGGAATAGAGCAAAGGATGAGAAAGCTGGGTTTGTAGACTCCAGATGAAAAGAGCTGAGAAGATGGAGAGAACAGCAGTGGATTGTTACAGAGAACATGGATCCAGACTATTCTGAGAGGTGCACAGCAGAAGGGTGAGAGGCCACAGAAGCAAGTTAGTACAAGGGGAACTTTAATTACATGTAAAACAATAAGTTTCATAATAAGGATGGTCAAATGATGGAACAGATTTCCCAGAGAAACCACGAAAACTCCATCCTTAGAGGTATACATTCATAGTTATGCAGAACAAGGCTCTGGGCAACCTGATCTGACTTTAGAATTGGGTCTAACCTCCAAAATGTTTCCTGCTCTTATCAGGAGTTTGGGCCTCTGTCCTGAAGAAGCCTTCCAACCTGAGCTGTTCCATGAATCTATGCACCTGTAATGAATGTAGACTATTCCAAGACTATTGTTTTCTAGATTTTATATTTATTTCTATTTTAAGAAAACAAACAGTCACCTAAGCTTTTTCCAAAGGCTGAATGACCCTAGATTTTCCCCTGAAGGACCATTACTGTTTAATTTGTTTGTCTCTTCTCAGGAAGAGACAGTCTTAATCCTCTGATTGCAGAGACTAAAGCTGATTTAATGGTATAACTCAGCAAAAAAATATGCAGGGTAAAAAGGCTTTTAAGTCAAAATGATGTGACAAATGTTCCAGCTATTCAGGGCAGCATCCTGGGACTTACTCCTTTGCTAAGGTAGAGAAATAATAGCTGAGCAGTGGCATTGTTAAAATTAGTATATAAATGTAGCTGAGCAAATCCTTTTTCTCATTCCTGCAATTTAGGATGACATACACAACAAACTTTCAAAAGCACATGCTAAATGAATGCCTCACATATATTGTTGTCTTAGAATTGAAATAAAGCTCTTCAGATCCTTACAGGACAGCAGGAACTTTTAAAGAACTGAAATTTGGCACACAGAAATATTAAGTCAGGATGGCAGGAAAAAACCCTCAAATTTACTCACTTAGCATCTTCCTTCCCGTCATTGAGCTGACTCTGTTCCTGTTGAGTTGTCTTAGCTGGTTCAGTTGATGTTTCAGTTTTTGAAGGCTCAGGTGCTTTTACAGGTACTGTTTCTAGGAAAAAAAAAAAAAAAAGGGTTTCAATTTTTGAATAGTAATTTTTAAAGAATTATGATAATATTTTTGGAGGAATCACAGCTTGACTGCCATTATTTCTTCACGCTACGTGACACTGATTCTGGGGCTTGACCTTTGAATAATTTCCTACATAACTTTATTTCAGTGCTAGCTGTACAGAACATGTTTATGATGAGTGTACCATTTAGAACATGTAACTCATCTGTGGTTTTTTATCTAGATGCATCTGGACCCCGCTCAACAGTGGTCAATACAGAGCTCTTCTATATTCATAAGAAACAAGAACACATCCACTGTGACAGAATCTTAGTCTGTGCTTATTTTTAAAAAATATGCGGAGGACAGATAGATAGATCTGTCCAGAAATGCCTTGTGAAGTACAAGAGGAAAAATGAAGAGCATATTTGCTAATGCACAGCAAGTGCTAATGACGTTATTTATACTCCAGTGTTTGAATTGCATTAAATCTCTTGTTGCTTCAGCTGCCATGACAGTCTTGTTTGTTGTGGAGTAAATTATGATTGAATTATATCATTAAAGATGTGAGTATATAAAAATTCAGCTAGTCTATTTCTTCAGTTTTGTTACAAGTAACTTTTTAAAAGGAGTTTAAGTGGAAAGTTTGTAGAATTTGAAGCAAACTCTATGCAAATGATATAGTTCCTTGTAATTTAAGTGGCCTTATATGATTAACTTTTCCTATTAGTCCTATATCTTTATTTTAAATCTTCATGCCAAAAAATAATTTGAAAGCTGTCATCAGCCTGACACTTTGCATAAAGGAGGAACAAACTCACCCTTCATAAATAGTTAAAGTAATATGATTATGGAGGAAAAAGCTTGGCAGCAAAACATCATAGCAAATAAATCAGGAACTTGTTGTGTAGGCTGTATTATAAATTAGAGACAGCTCAAAGGAAAACAGACCTTGAGTATTTTGGAAAGATAGTGTATGATTAGTTTTCTGATAGTTAATCTCCATATTTAGAGAGTTATTAATTTCAGGGGGGTAAAAGCAGTCACAACAGCAAACTGTTAAGCTGCTCAGTGGGAAGGTGATTGCTTGAAATTGCATTGAAACAAAACTTAGTGAAGGTCAGCGGGTCCATTTGTTTACAGCACGCGATGAACCAAACTACACTCCTACCACTGTTTATTCATATTTGGGATAGTATTTTCTTCCAGGCTTCTCTTAAGAACAGACACAATTTTTCTTGAGGTGGTTTCAGACTTTTATGGGGTGGACTATGGATTACAGAACCAGTGGGGCATTTCTAGAGAACAATTTTTTCTTAGCATGCAGGTTAAGAAGCGAGAATGCCCTGTGTGAGCCCTATTGCTCTTACAGAAATCTTTTTCTTAAACAAGATCAAAGACAAAACCTAGAGAGAGGTTATCTGTGGATACTTTACGTGTAGAGTATGAAAAATTCCAGAAATATTCAAGCCAGAGTCAGTCAAGGAACTGAATAGAAGGCAAAGAAAATCATGCTCCCTTAGCAAGTTCAGGAGTTATTTTTCAAATAGTCCCTGAAACAAATTTTGCATTATTGAGTACAAAGTCTGCAGGATTTATATTGCTTATCACCTGTAAGCTGGGAAGACTTTTGTGAGGAATTCCATTAAAAAGTCTGAAATTCAATTGGATTTCTGGCTTAAATTGATAACAGTATCTTGTCGACTTGATGGAAATGCAGATTATTGTTTCCTTTCTGCAGCAGTTAGTGTTGTAGTGCTATCTTGAGGAAAAGACTGTTGGAAATATAACTCTAGGGAATGTTTCATCTTACTTGAGGGATCTGCCAGGTAATTTCCAAGGTATAGAACAGCACACATTCAGGAGAATGAGGAAGCGGGGAACTGTTGCTGTTCCTGTCCCCAGGAAGGTTCAAGAAAGGAAGAAAGAATTTCTTATCATTTGATTACAGTGTTTCAAAATGCTTTTCTGGGAGTTCCAGTCAAAAAGACTTTTTCTTAGGAGGGAGAAATTTTAAAATGGATTCAGGCTTCTAGCACAGTGAATACATTTTCATAGTGAAATAAAATTTATTTCTCCTAGGAATTTCATAGCCATCCTCTGTCAGAAAATCTCAGAGGAGCTGCAGTTTCAAAAAACATAAAGGGGGTTTGGAACTATTTGTGGGTCTTGCTACTGAACCTTAACCTGTTAAAATTCTATTTAACCCTTACCCCACGAGATCTCTACAAATGATGCCACTGAGTCTGTGCTTTCCTTGGCACACAATCCTCCTGTGGTTTTGTGGTCAACATAACAAGCTGTAGACAAGAAGATGCAAGAGCCAAGATTTTTCACTATTTGCTGTGATGTCTGCTCCCTTCTGAATTCATGGTTTGTAGTTTCCCAGTTCTCCCAGCCCTGCCTCCCCCAGCCAAAAAGCCACGTACTCAAGAGTGACAGCAAGACTAATCTCAACATTTCTATAATCGCCTCACTTGGGGAATTTGCTTTGTTAGAGTAATTGCCCCCTAGTTACATCTATACTAGTAGGAAATACAACCCAATTGGAACAACCAGAACAGTGAAATAATGCTGAAGGCCCAGCATCCGTGTTATATCTGAGGCAGCTGTATTTCAAACCAGCTCAATTATGATCCTCCAAAATAAATGACCATCAGCAGCTTGAATAAAGCAGGCTGGCTCATGGAGTGCTTCTTCTTGTTTAGTTTCATTCTAAAGAAAACCAGTTGCGCATTCCTAGAGGTTTTCTAGTGAAAAAAACAGGGCACATTAGGGGTCAATTGGGAGATTTTTTTCATCTGAAATAAAATGCCAATGTAGACACACTGTTTAGAGTAACAGGCTTCTAAATAAGACAATCCATCTCTGGAAAGACAACGTATGTATGAGAAGGCAAGACCACAAAGTAAAAAAAAATATGGTGCTTGCACATAAGCATCCCATTGCAGAAGGCTAATGGCCTCTCAGCCTGCTAGACATTCTCGAGCTATTCAGTCTGAGGTCTGAACCCACACTAACCATTAAATGCTGACTAGACTCAGACTGATGGAAAACATTGTAATCCCATGAATATTCCAAACCTCCACAAGTTTTTAGAGTTCATAAATCCCCAGGACCAGTGCAGGGTTTATTTTTATTAGGATGAGGATATCACAGCCTAGCACCACTGCCAGCCGTGTGTCACGTGGTAGTTGTTGCTTTCTGTATGAAATTATGAGTGCTCTCTGTGTCAGTCACATTTAAAAAAACCCTAGTCACTCTTCACTGCCTAATTCTAGCTCATACCCTTCTGACTTATGAGACCAGACCCAAAGGAATGCCTTTAAGAACAATGTGGTAGTCATTTTTGGGAACATTCAGAGTACAAAAATTGGTATCTAGAATAAATAATGATCCTGTTTTCCTGGAGATGGCTGAACACCTGACTGCTGATGGGAATTAGTGAATCAATTCCTTTTTTTTGCTTTGCTTGCATGCGGGGCTTTTGCTTTACTTATGAAACTGCTTTTATCTCAACCCACAAGTATTCTCACTTTTACTTTTCTGATTCTCTTCCCCATCCCAAATGGGGGAGTGAGCAAGTGGCTACTGTGGTCCTAGTTGCTGGCTGGGGTTAAACTAGGACAAGGGCTAAGCAGAACAGTGGAAGAGCTGGCAAAGTTTTTCTTAGTTTAAACTAAGACATTAGTTTAGTAGTAAACTAATTAATAAGTGTAGATTAATGCAGGACCAACTCCACTTTCATGTTTCTAAAACCTAGCACTGTACACCCTGTTCTAAAGCTGTAGACATTAGTCCTAAGGACCTTTTTCCACAGAAGAAGCTGTTGGAATGGACAGATTTGGCAATGCCAGGACACAGAACAGCAGAGACGGTGTTCTTGACATAATTATTTTGATTCTTTTAAAGCCTTCAGTCCACACAAGTATTTGTGGATAAAAACCCCTTCTGTCATGGGTCTAGCCCCATAGAGGTGTTGCTGGCTTCACTTCTGGCAATCAGCAATGTCAGCAAAGGACTCTAAAACCTCATGGATCCACTGAGATAAATGTTAGCTTGTGGCCATGGATGTTATCACAAACCTTCCACCAGTAGAGCATAAAATGTTATTTCCTACCATAGTGAGTACTTAGCAAACAGAAGTGCAGATCAAGTCAGTCATTTTACACTAATTCATCATTTATTCTACTTTCCAGTCCTATTCCTGCTGTTACTGGTGTTCTTCAAAAGCCACAGAGCTGCAAAAGGCTATTACCACCTCTCCAGGCTGGCTAGAACAGCTCCTTCCTCTTGTTCCCTCTGAAGGTCAATGTGGAGATGGAGGAGCTGAGCTGCCAGCCTGCTCTTCAGGGCAAGGGAAGAGATTTTTGGAGCAAGCAGGCTCTTTTCTACTATCCGAACCCTGCTTCTGCCCGTGCAAGCAGCAGCAGGAGGCTTAGGGACAGGAAAGAAAGCACTTTGTCTTGTGGAAACCACCAGCCTGACTGGTTATTCAGCATCAGGAGGCGTGCCTCTGGAGCTGTCAGCCAATCTGAAAGGACTTTCTTCCAGAAAGCAATAAAACTTAAATCTCTCAGTTACTAGGCTGACTTTAAAAGCTCTATTTCTTCAACCAGTTATGTCCAGGTACACTTTTCATAGCCATAATAACTGGCCTTTAACATCACAAATATATTATCATTATTGCAAAAAATGAAGAGAAGCAAAATGTCAAATAAAAGATTAGTTTTTTGAGGTAAAGACATGAATAAATGTCAGCAGATAGATAGTAGCAGTTAAATGTATATCTGAGTACACAACAGAAAAGTGCTCTTGCTTTGCCATACTTTGGAAAGCGAAACCTTTTTTCCCCAGAATTCTCAGCCAGCCCCACTGCCTTTTACTAGCAAGTCTGACCAGTATCTTATCTCTGCTCCCCCTCCCTTTCTGGACTGGCCAGCTATATGTGAAGGAAGAACATTTAATGACTAGCAGTTGCTTATGGTCCTCATACAAAA